ACCTCGTAGGCGTTGCCCCCTTGGTTGTACATGTTGTCGCCCCCCCGTAGGTACCCTCGAAATCCAGGTCGTCGAACTCCGTCGCGACCCACGGGGGGGGCTTCATCCCTTAGTCCCTTTAGGTGCCGATGAGGCGGCGGCTGCACCAGCTCATCCTTGCTCTCCAAGCGCACGCTGCGTTCGCACCCGAACATCTGAAGCGAAACCGACTTGCTTCTTCGTCGGTCCCTTGCCACCTGCTCCAGGGGAACTGTCTGGCTTGACGGCTGCCGCAGCGGCATCCCCGCTGGGTGCTTGGCTGCTTCCCGCTGCTCCTTGCGAAGGCAGGGAGGCATTGCTGTGGTGTGCGTCCTTCTCCCCTTGGCTGGCACCACCCCCCATGCCTTCCGACAGCAGGTTCGACAGGCGTGGGCGCCTCAACTCGAACTCGTTTGCGTGCCAGTCGGCCCACATGTGCCAGGTGCTCGGCCTTGAGACTCTCGACCTTCTCCATCGCGCCCTGGAACAGGTCCTTGGTCGCCACTTGCATTTGCTGTCGCAGCTGCTCTTTCCTCGACTGAATCTCACGCTGGTCCTCTGGGGTGAGCTCAGCTTCTTCTCCGACCTGGAAGAAGCCCTCGAAATCGATGAGGCTGACCACGTCCTTGTGCCCAGCCACCACGTCCTCCAGCTTGACCTTGGCGGCCTCAGGCTGACTGCCACCGTCGGTCTCTTGGCCACCGTGGACGCCAGCTCCGACACAATCGATGCGTATTCTGCGTCAGCAGCTTGCAGAGTGGACTCCAGAACTCGAACACACTTAGACTGGATGAGGACCCACTGCTGGTACTGCTCCAGCTTCTCCACCTCCGTGGACAGCTGCCCCTCGAGCTGCTGGATCCTGTCGTGCACCCGCTGAGTACGCTCCTGGACGGACAACTCAGGCTCCTTCCGCATGGCCTCGAGCTGCCCACGGTACTTAGCGGCGGTGGTCGTGTCTCCCATCTTCTCTGCCATGGCAACAGAGTTCTCGACCTCGTCGACTGTCGGCCCGCCAGCTGCGACCTTCCCGCTGGCGTTGACTGACGGGGGCGGTGGGACTGCCGAACCTCCTCCTTGAGCCGAGAGGGCCCGGCGTGCTGCTCCACGCGAGCTGCGCCGATCGCCACCGCCACCGCCAGGCTGAAGAAGAACCAAAGTCGACACGTCCGTGGGGGCCTCCGTCCGCCACTCGTGGCAGTGCTTGCAATACTCCTGCGAGTCGATGTTCTTTTTTGCATCCACAATGCGCACATGTCCATCTCCTGCCAGTCTGCTGCTGGTCTGCATAGGCTGCACTGTCACCGCGGGTCCTGGAAGGCTGGCGGCGCGGGGGACCACGATCTCGTCCGTCAGGACAACCTCCTTTACTGCCTCGACCTGCGCCTTTGTCCCCCACTCCGCTCTTACTACCTTTCCAGCCGCCTTCCTCCCGCCATGCACGACCGTCGTGCCGCCAAGGCCACTCGGCCCGATCGCCCATCGCAGCGGAGGAAGAATGGTTGCACACGCCTTCTGGCGCCGCCCTACGGCGGGACGCCAACGGTACACGGATATGGAAATATGGAAGAATGAAGCGGAGGCCCTGTCCGGGGCCTCGAAAGCAATGGCCTCTAGACCAGGTCTCGAGCTCGCGGTGGCGACCTTGAGCCAAAATGGCTTGACCAGAATGGCTTGAGCCAAAATGGCTACGGACCTCCTCCTCCTCCTCCCCCTCCTCCTCCTCCTCCTCCTCCTCCTCCTCCTCCCCCTCCTCCTCCTCCTCCTCATCCTCCTCCTCCTCCGCCTCCTCCCCCCCTTCTCCTCCTCTTCCTCCTCTTCCTCCTCCTCCTCCTTTTCCTCCCCTCTTTCCTCCTCCTCCTCCTCCTGCTCCTCCTCCTCCTCCTCCTCCTCCTCCTCCCCCCTCCTCCTCCCACACACACGCCAAGGTCACGACGCTACGCGCGCTTTCCGTCATCTGGAGCTCGGCCTGCCTACCCCCCAAAAAAACAAAAACCGCCCTTGCTACTTCTCCTGGCTAACGGATCGCGACGCTACGCACGTCTTCGTCATCTACCGCCAATCCTGCCTACCCCAACCCATAGTTGTTTTCCGTAAGGGCTTCGCCCCCTGCGGCCCTCCCCCTTTGTGTCAGCATGGAATATAACAGAGTCGTGTCGGTGCGCCTCGGCGCTGTCTTGGCCGCCTCCTGCCAGACAAGGAAGGATCCTTCTTCCAGGAAGGGTCGGGGAAAAGGAGCGGGGCGACCGCAAGGGGAGGAGGGGGAGTAACAGCGACAGCAGGAGCAGGGGGAGTTAGTAGGAACAGAGAGTAAGCAGAAGCAAGGGGGGAGATGCCGAGTATGGTCGAAAGGAAACGAAAAGAGAAAGTGAAGAGGAGAGTCCTCCTGAATACGGTGCAGCAGACGCGGGGACCTGCTTCACGTGGGGGTTATTGCGAAAACCCGAGCTCAACACACGGCGAATCGAAGTGAGCCTGAGCCTGAGCCTGAGCCCGAGCTCGACGATCAGCAAAGCAAGCCTGAGCCTCGCCACAAGGCACCAGGTAGCCAGGCTCATATCGCTGACATCTGCGAAACCAGTTTCGGTGTACGTCGATAGTGGTGTTCTTCCAACCTGGCCCGCTCCGCGCGCCAGGGGGCCCCGCGCCGATCCGAGCCATCAGCGCGGACCTCCGAGAGTTTCTGTCTATGTCGTTTGCGGTCCCCGATTTAAGGGCTCCCAACTTCGCGCTTCGCGCTGCGCGAAGCGCGAAGTGCGAATAACTTCGCGCTCTCGCGCCGCCCCCCAAGGGGGAGAAAAGGAGGACGAGGAGGAAGGAGAGAAGGAACGAGGACCGCGAAGCGCGAAGCGCGAATAACTTCGCGCCCTCGGGGGAGCCCTTGCCGATTGCTGTCGCAGGCCCCCCCCCCCCAGAAATCCCTCCGAACGGTTCGCGACGGAAGTTGCCCTGGATGCCGAGGTCTGGCCGGTGCTGCCGCACTGCAGCGCCCTCCGACTCCTGCCCCGGGGGCCAGCCCGTCGGGGCCCACCTGAGGGCCCCCGCCCATGGAGCCCCGCCGCTCCATCAACACAAAGATCCGATCAACAGCGGCCAGCCCGAAACACACCGCAGGGCTGGGACAACTCCGAAACACCAGAAAAACGATCCTCCACTTGCACCTCCTGCGCGTGAGCCGGTGGGTTCGGCTGCCAGGACTGCAGCGGAGCCCTCTTCAGCACCAGCGCCACCCTGGAACGCAGGCAGGCGCCACAACAGCGCGCGCGGCCGCCGACGCCGTGAGCCGCCTCTGCCGCGGCGCTGGACCTCATGCCTCCAAGAGTGTGTTGCTGTGCGGTCGGTTGCGGCAGCCACGGGAGGCAGGAGCGTCTCAAGTGGGAAACTCAGGTAACCTCTCGCGCACATTCTGCAAATGTTCTTCTCCCTCTTTGTCGGACACGGACCTATCCGGAAATGCAACTCCTGACAGGTCGGGGTCCGGGCGCTTCGAAGTAATGTTTCTGATGCCTCGTCAATCATCCCGTGGATCTTGATGTTCAATTTCGAAAAAGTCCTACGTGTGCCCGTGTGACCTCCTCCTACAGGGGGGCCTTACAGGAGAGGAGAGGAAATGGGCACGCAAGTAAGAGGGGAGAGCGACACATTGGCGCAGAAGTGGAGGGCAGAACATCCACCCCGATGAAAACCACCCCGACACGCGAGGCCGTTTCGTAAACGCACCCAAGGGAGGAATCGAACAGGGCAGGGCTGTTTAGTAAACGCCCAGGGCCGCTCAGTAAACGCCAATTGTCGGGTCCGGGTGGTTTTTCCTCCCTTGAAGAAGGGCGGATAAGGGCCAGACAAGTAGGGAACCGAACTCCATGAACCGCCGCTTTTTTCGGGCCCTGCACTGAAACCTGCATAGGAAAACGGATCCTGGTGTATACGGGATCCTTGTGTATACGTGCTTCGTTGTTTCTTCGGGAAACGGAGACAAAAAGTATACACCACACCACCCCGACGTCGTCCCCGACCCTCGAAAAGTCCTTGGATGGAAACGCAGCCCGCCACTGGTAATGTATATGTTCCCAATTTCCGAACAAGACTATCCAAGACGAGACAGCAGGGATACTCAACGAAAGAAAACTGCGCACACAGGTGCGAGTTGAAGAAGACGAGGTGTCCGATCTTCCACCCCGGGCAAAGACTGGAGAGGACAGGGCAGGAGGAGGAGGAGGAGAAGGAACGTGCGGAGGTTGCAGTTCTTGGTGCCCTTCGGAAGGAGGAGGGAAGAACTGACTCACGCTCTCCCCCCGACGACGAATTTAAAACCTATCCCTAAATCCTTCTGGACCCTGACCCGATGTTTCGCGTCACGTCCTGCCAAGGGTGACAGGCTGCCAAAGGCGCGCCCACCTCACCCAAGATGTCTGCCGGCATCGAGGGAGGCGAGGCGAGGCGAGGCTTCCCCTCGGGGCGCTTGGCATTCTCAAGCGGATCTCATAGTGGCGACAGTCTCATGTTCAGTATTCCTATCAAAGAGGCGGGTGCCCCTGTCGCGACGCTCATGGCTGGCAGGCGTCTGGCCACCTTACCCCCGTCGGCTGGCTGGCAGGACTTGAAGGGTGAAAGAAGTCGCGAAAGATCGCGGTCGAGGGCTGGTCGCTCGAGCAGTCAGCCAGGTGTCAAATAAGATTTAGGACCATGGTGGTCCCGCCATGCGAAGGACCATGGGGCAACATGAACGGTCAAGCGTGTCAATCTCAACATGCACGTACATCAGACATACTCATATCTACATTCACAACTTTTGCATTGGCAGCTTGGTTACATGGCCCAAGTATGTTTGATGGTGTTCGTCCCCCAGACCCGACAAGGCGAGATCAATGCGGATATACGGGCCTCTTGCAATCATGGGTAGCGGGGCTCCCGAGACGCGGACAAATCATCTCCTTCACGATGAAACTAAGAGAGTGCGTGCCCCTGTCTGCCTGTGCGCGTTATTTCTGAGTTGCCCTCGCTGCACACACGCAGGGTCGCTCTCCAGCCGAAACTGGTAGACAAGCGTGAGGCGGTGAGCAGCCAGGCGGCTGCAGCGAGCAGCCGGCAGCCTAGGCCTCACTGGTCCTTCCAATTGTGCGAACACTTCGTACACCTGAAAGGGAAGTGAAGCCCAGATCTGGGCAGGTGTGACATGAGGAACACTGGGCGGGAAGGTTGAGTTGGAGCCATGTGCATACGAAAAAAAGACAAAGCAACTGCAACAACCATGTTCAGAGAAGCAGGGGGGGGATCGCGTCTGACTTTCTCAGGGATCATCTCCCCGTCGCCTGAAGAAGTTGGTCATCGGCTCGTCTGCCGATCTCGTCTGCAGCTGCTTGACGTAGGCCTTGTGGTGGCCGCACCGCGGGCACTGCTCCTCGGTGGTATCCACGTCCTTCCACGCCTCCTCGCCGCCCAATATGTCATCGACCCTCCGCCTGGGGAGCACTTGCTTGTCCGCGAGCTTCTCCTCGACCTTGTAGACGTAGGGGCACGTCCTGCAGCGAAACGCCACGCCTCCGGATCTCCCGACCCCAACGTCGATGACCAGCAGATTGGCACACGACGGGCAGAACTGTGCTGCCATGCCTCCAGCGGTGCGGACCGCGGACGCTCATTGGCCAAGAGCCTGCCCTAGCCTTGAGCCCAAAAAGCCTGCGTCTTTACACGCACACGACATTCTACGCTGCGGCATGTCCGAACGCATCCGCCATATTTCGTGTGCGTTCTCTTTCATTGAGTGGCTCATGAACCACCAGCGCCGAGAAGCATGACTGCACGTTCGGTCTCCTGAAGCCCTACTGCGCGCCTGTCTGACGCGGGAAGCACGTCGTGGCCAAGAGTCTGCCGACCGTGTCGGCGTGGCCGAGTGGCCTTTCCACTCGAAGCCCTCCCCCTCCCCAGGGCCGACTGAGGGACTCCTCCTCCCCCTCGTCCTCCTCCTCCCCTCCTCCTCCTCCTCCTCCTCCTCCTCCTCCTCCTCCTCCCTCCTCCTCCTCCTCCTCCTCCTCCTCCTCCTCCTCCCCCTCCCCCTCCTCCTCCTCCTCCTCCTCCTCCTCCTCCTCCTCCTCCTCCTCCTCCTCCTCCTGCTCCTCCTCCTCCCCAGGGCCGACTGGGGAGAACCACTATCGTGTTGGGAGGAGGGGGCTGGGAGGATGAAGGGCATGCGCAATAGCACTCGGATGCAGTACCTTCGGCCGCCTACGGGTGAGGGCAAACCATCCACCCCCATCGTAATCACCCCGACGCGCGAAACCGTCTAGCAAGCGCACCCGCAGAAGGGACTGAACATGACAGGGTTGTTTAGTACACGCCCAGGGCCGTTTTGTCAACGCCAATCATCGGGTCTGGATGTCTGTCTCCCCTCGACCAACCTGGGCCCGCCCTCCTCCCTCATCCCGCGCCGCGAGGCAAAGAGGGCCGAGGCGCACAGGCGGTGCGCGCCTCCTCCTCCTCCTCCTCCTCCTCCTCCTCCTCCTCCTCCTCCCTCCTCCTCCTCCTCCTCCTCCTCCTCCTCCTGCTCCTCCTGCTCCTCCTCCTCCTCCTCCTCCTCCTCCTCCTCCCCTCCCTCCTCCTCCTCCTCCTCCTCTTCCTCCTCCTCCTCCTCCTCCTCCTCCTCCTCCTCCTCCTCCTCCTCCTCCTCCTCCTCCTCCTCCTCCTTCGCCCCTCCTCCTCCTTCCCTCCTCCTCCTCCTCCTCCTCCTCCTCCTCCTCCTCCTCCTCCTTCGTCCTCGTCCCCCTCCTGCTGCTCCTCCTCCTCCTCTCCTCCTCCTCCTCCTCCTCCCCCCTCCTCCTCCTTCCCCTCCCCCTCCCCCTCCCCCTCGTCCTCCTCCTCCTCCTCCTCCTCCTCCTCCTGTTCCTCCTCCCTCCTCCTCCTCCTCCTCCTCCTCCTCCTCCTCCTCCCCCTCCTCCTTCCCCTCCTTCCTCTCCTCCCCCTCCTCCTCCTCCTCCTCCTCCTCCTCCTCCTCCTCCTCCTCCTCCTTCGCCCCTCCTCCTCCTCCTTCGCCTCCTCCTCCTCCTCCTCCTCCTCCTCCTCCTCCTCCTCCTCCTCCTCCTCCTCCTTCTCCTCCTCCTCTTCCTCCTCCTCCTCCTCTTGCTCGTCCCTTTCATTTGCGAGCTTCTTCGAAGCCGGAACCGCCCCTCCTGCTGCTCTGCTGCTCCTGCTGCTCCTCCTCCTCCTCCTCCTCCTCCTCCTCCTCCTCCTCCTCCTCCTCCTCCTCCTCCTCCTCCTCCTTCGCCTCCTCCTCCTCCTCCTTCGCCTCCTCCTCCTCCTCCCTCCTCCTCCTCCTCCTCCTCCTCCTCCTCCTCCTCCTCCCCCTCCTCATCGTCATTCTCCTCCACCTCCTCCTCCCCCTCCTGTTCCTCCTCCTCCTCCCCCTCCTCCTCCTCCTCATCCTCCTCCTCCTCCTCCTCCTTCTCCTCCTCCTCTTCCTCCTCCTCCTCCTCTTGCTCGTCCCTTTCATTTGCGAGCTTCTTCGAAGCCGGAACCGCCCCTCTCTGTTTCACCGGGTCGGCGGCGGGGTGGCCTCACAGATGCATACGACAGGAGGGCCCCCAAATGGCCCCAAGGGAACCCCAAGAAAACCCCAAGATGGCCCCAAGTCTCGAAACGCACGCGAGTGTAATATACAAATCAGTGCAACAGCCATCACGAGTCATCGAAACACCCTTCACCTCTCATCGAAGCACCATGATAGTTTTCACCGGTTTCCATCTTAAGCTTCACTGCGAAAAGCTATTTGTGAGTGTTGTGTTCCCGAAGACGGCTGCGCGACTGCATGCGCCCTGCCGCCCCTGATTCACCAACTCCCCTGATGATCGTTTCGGGATGGGCTGGCGGGGATATTTTTTGTTCGCGAGCGCAAGTGGAAGAGCCGCGCACGGTCAGGGGATTGCCGAATAGCAAAGACTTAATTACTACGGCCTAAAGCGGGATCGAGCGCCTGCAGCCAACAAGCGGCGGCAAGACATGCAAACTAAGCGGCGGGGCAAGCTCAACCGCAGCTCAGACGAAACAGGCGAAGACAGCCACCGGGCCAAAATGGCGGTGTGTTCGATGGCGCCCACATTGCAGTAGCATCACTCCAGACATACCTGTCCTCGGCGTTGGGTCTACATGTGCCGAATGCAGAACCAGCACCCCGCCGCGGTCGTCAGGCACGGTGCCGCGTAACCACTTCCACATGTGCACGCGGGCCGTCGAGGAAGGCGTGAACCAGCGCCGGGGGTGAGAGCCTGCATCCAGAAGACGCCCGGTCGGCGAGGCGTTCTGGCCGAACAAGCGGCGCACCACGGGCGAGTCCTGGCCCCCGAGCAGACCCAGCGGAGGCGGAGAGCGACGAAGGCCGAGGCCACGGTCGCACTGTGGGAGGGCCCGGGCACCTCCTGCGGGGGGACAGCCGCAGGGGGAGACTGGTGGGGATACGCGAAGGGTCAAACATTAGAACTTGCGGACAGTGCAATTAGCATGTTCTCGGCCCCGATGGAGGCGACTGTAGGAGAGTCTAGCTCGGTCTAGTAAGCCGCCGGCTCCGCGTGCGATTTCGACTTCGCACGGGTGGACCCTCCGCGCTCTACGGCATGCCAAGAACACCCTTGCCCGTCTCCAGGAGCAACCCGGACTCATTCTACTGTGTCATGTGCCGTCCTACTGTTGGACACCCAGTGTGCATACTGCAACTGTCGCACCTGGGATTGCATGCAGCGTGGTCGCTTGCTCCGGGCCACCAAGGGTGTTGCATGCTGTGCGCGCTGGATCCCACATGCAGCATGCGACGCCGAACGAGAGGAATCCCTGGACAGGGTGGACTTGCCCAACGATCCAGGTCCCACTGTTCCCGATTCTGCTCCCCGCGACGATGGCAACGAAGACTCACCAACGAATGACAGCCGCCACGCGTCTGAGCTCCGTGACGCCCATTCGCAAGCTCGGCGTGAAGACGACGGGGCGCGCTGCCTGTCGCCACGGCGCCAGTCGGCTGAGAGCCACAGCGGTTTGGTAGCGCGGCCGCCGACATCCGTCCGAGGAAGAACGCACGGGCACCGGCGGAGCGCACGGCCCGCGAGCGTGGCCGAAGGTCGAGTCCTACTCTACCGCATTTTCCCGACCCAACGCCCACTCAGCACATTGCAAGCTTCTCAGCATCTAGTCTGTCATGTGAGCGTTTTCTTGTTCGGCGTTTCGACATTGGGCGAAAGAGGGTGGGAGGGGGGGGTCTGGCTCCAGATCTCTGCCTGGTGCAACTGTTTGTAGCAGTGCGTCCTGTGGGGGAGCCTCCACCTGCTCGAAACGGCCGCCAAAAACAGCCAAGATCAACTCCATGTAGGGGGGAGGAGGGAGGTGCAAGGGTTCGCGCCGATCGGCAAAACAATGAATGAGAACTAGTCTGTCATATTGATGTTGTCTCTGTTTGTCATTATCTTGTCGCAGCTGATGCGCTTCTTTGGAAGAAGAACGAGCGCCATAAACAGAAACTGTTGGCGCTCCGCGCGAATCTCTCGGATCGCGCGGAGCGCGCCGGGGGCCGCACCGGAGGCGCCGCCAGGGGGGCCCAGCGCGGATCTAGGAAATCCGCGCGGAGCGCCAGGAGTTCATGCTTATGGCGTTCTGTCCTCCTCGATCCTTTCGTGCAGCGCCAATTCTGTGCAGCGCCCTGTCGTGGGCCGCCCCCGCTGAGTATCGTTCAAGCAATCCCCATCCCCAGCGGCGTGGCCTTGGCCCCACTGGCCGATTTGTCCCCCTGGATGGGGATGTAGGTCGTTTCCCTTAGGGCTTCGAGGGGTGTATGCCCAACTGGGGTGGTAATTTTGGGGGGGTATCGAAAGGGATGGGGATGGTTGAGCAGGGACTGACCGTCCCGGCATTCTTATAGTCATACCACGAAATGCTCTTAGAACCCAAAAATGTTCTAAGAACAAAGACAATCAATGTTCTTAGAACATGAGCCCGATGTGTTAAAACA